TTTAAATTCTATAGGAGGTCTGAAGTGTTGTTTTTTTTCCAAAAAGGATTTCAATAGTTTTAAAATATTAGTTGTATTCGTTTTGTTCTATTACTTTTGAGATACAGGGAACGACAGATTTAAGATGTATTACGATGTGTTTCACATAGAAGACTCGGGGAGTCAAGAATCCAGAAAAGGGTGAGATGTATTCGTGAGCCAAATAGATGCATAACAACCTGGAGTCCCGGTCGAAATGAAAGGACATACTCCATTGCCCAACTCCACCATACAACTGTGCCGTTCTACTCCACCGTCCAACTCCACTGTCCAACTTTGCTGTACCCCACGGTCTAAATCCACCATATTACTCTGCCGTTCTAGTCCAAAAGTCAAACTCCTCCATCCAAACACAACGAACATTTCCTCCGTCAGTCCCAGCCAGCACGATGTATTATGTTCCAATGGTGGAGAGTTCAGTTTTTTATAAAAACGTTCGTTTTTTTTTTTTTTTTTCTTTTGGTCAGATTTCTTTAATCCTTAAAATAAAAATTTACCCTTCCATCTAAGCTATCCTTTCTTTTGGTTTTTTGTGCGGAAGGCTATTCATTGAAAAAGGATTGTTCAAAATTCCCATTGTGGAGAGTTCAGTTTTTTATAAAAACGTTCGTTTTTTTTTTTTTATTTCTTTAGGTCAGATTTCTGTAATCCTTAAAATAAAAATGTACCCTTCCATCTAAGCTATCCTTTCTGTTGGTATTTTGTGCGGAAGGCTATTCATGGAAAAAGGATTGTTCAAAAGTGGCACGCCTGGTCGGATTTAGATCGACTTACTGATGTTAAGCTCTTAAAGACAGCTTTACAAGGCCTTCGGTGAGACGCATTGAAGAGTGGTACACAAAATATCAGTTGACACAACACACAATGGTAAAAAAATATATATATTTATATCAAGTATACATTGTAGAGTAATTCAAAATATAGGATTGGATTTACTGCACAGTGGTACAAATAGTAGCAATGGAAACAATGCACAGTGATACAACATATACCAATGACACTGTGCACTGGGCTACAAAACATATCAATTATGTTATGTAGTACACTTTTTTCCACGTGCGTGAACTTTCTTTGACCCCGCATTAGACTCCTAGCAGATAGTAACGTTTGTTGTGGGCGTGGTTAAATCTCTTTGATGTATCTTGTTTACTAACGAATTCCAATTAAACATGTTTAGTATGTCTACTAGTATCTTGTCGAAGGTTCTTGATGGATTTAGAAAAGTGAGGGCGTTTCTAGACGCGTCGGTAGACCCACATATATAAGGGATTGACAGGCACAGAGGGAGACGGAGAATGACACATATTTTTAACTTCACAAGACGTGTATTATTCTGTGTGTACTTATATGTGTTTGTTGGCATTGATCAGTCATCATTATCCATTGGCACATTGTTTAAACTGTGTTTACTGTGTACCGGTACAAGATCTACCATACTGTAAGTTGATGATTTGTAATGATATTTCTTTTGTTTTGTAATTGTATATTACTAAATTAATTCTTATTAATTGTAATTGGTACTGTTTTGAGTGTCGTATTTTTGTTATTTTATTTCTCTATGGTATCGTCCTTTGTTAGGCACTGTTTGAATGAGCCATATGTTTAAAATAGGAGATTAATTTCTCACAACAGAAGCCAGTGCGTAACAATAAACTAGAGACCGACCAAATTTCGGCTCCAGTCTCTGCGCCGAAAGTTGCATTTTGATCCTTTACGGCGTAGCTTTGGTTTCGACCAAACAGAAAAGTTAACTTTCGGTTTATTTTTTCGGTTTTGGCCGAAACAGATAAGTTTTGGTTTGTTTTTTGGGCTTTCGGAAGCAAGTGATTGAAGCCTTCGGTCTTCTTCCAGATGTCAGATCGTTACCCTGTAAGTCTGACGACAATCTGATTTTTATTATTGATCGACGCTTGGCTATAATCGAATAATATATAGCAAATCCTCTGCGGACACTGGTCACAGCTGCATGATGACTTTCTTGTCCAAAACACTGCTCACAGCTGCATGATGACTTACTTGTCAAACATTTCCAATAAGGCAAAGATAAATAGCTTTGTGGGGAAAAAAACAACAACTAGTTGAATGGTAATATAGCTGAAATAGCTAACATCCAACGAAAATGGTACATTGACTATTTCAAAGTTAATTCCGATCCCATTAGGATGGTAAAAAGTAAAGCTAAAAAAAAAAAAAAAAAAAGGACGGGGAGAGTTCGCTTCCTTGGGTGAATTGAATGAGTCACTAAAGACAAATAAAAATTACCTGAAAAGTTGCCCCGTCGTGTTTCGTTGTGCGCAGAACGTACGCGAAAAAATTTTTGAAATATTCAAATCTTTCGGCTTTGGTTTTGGCCGAGAGTCTCAGTATACTTTTAGTTTCAGTTTCGGCCGAAAGTCTCGTTAAGCTTTTAGTTTCGGCTTCGGTTTGCTGCCGAAAGTCATTTTTAACTTTCGGTCTGGTTTCGGTTTCGGCCGAAATCATAAAAGGTTTCAACTATACGCACCCGGTTCCAGAAGTAGGAGGTTGCGATTAAAAAAATATTTAAGCTATTAATGATGGGTCCAAATTGCCCCGGACACCCAGTGCTGCCATGCGTACCCGGGTCCCAATTGACCAATGCTATTCAGATGTCATTTGTGGTAGTTTATTTGAGTTAAAACGAAAAAGTAAGTTTACAAACATATAGGCCACTTATTTATCTTTCATTTGATACTGCATTTTGTCTTACTACCCCAAAAATAATATTTTAAATATTTTTTTAATCCCAAACTCTCACTTCTGGTCCCCGGGTGCGAATAGCCACTTCGATCAGAAAATCCCTTTCGGTCGGTCTCTATAATGAACACTCAACAACATTTCAAAAAATACCAATGGAGACACAGCATAAAAACTATAAAGATTTGTTACAAGACACGAAGAAGCATACATTGTAACATTTGAAAAGGACACCGTTTTAAATGAAACGAGGATGGGGAAAGAGAGCAGGGGGTTGAGGATCACTGCAAAAGAATGTTGCAAGAAAAAAACATTCCAGTTGTATGGGCACGAATGTCTTCACAGTGTGTGTTGTGTGTTCCCACAATTTTAAAAAAAATTCAATGCACGTGTTCTTGATAATCTTAATGAACAAGTCTACATATCTCTAACATATTTTGAATCTAAAATCTACCTATTCATAATTCTTCATGGAACTATACAATGCTGCTTGAGGCGAACTTTTTGATCCATTTCAGCTGCATCTATCTCTGTCATAAAACCAATAAGACTAAAACTTTCTGATCCATTTCAGCTCCTTCTATCTCTGTCATAAAACCAATAAGACTAAAACTTTCTGATCCATTTCAGCTGCATCTATCTCTGTCATAAAACCAATAAGACTAAAACTTTCTGATCCATTTCATTCTGATCCATTTCAGCTCCTTCTATCTCTGTCATAAAACCAATAAGACTAAAACTTTCTGATCCATTTCAGCTGCATCTATCTCTGTCATAAAACCAATAAGACTAAAACTTTCTGATCCATTTCAGCTGCATCTATCTCTGTCATAAAACCAATAAGACTAAAACTTTCTGATCCATTTCATTTCCATCTATCTCTGTCATAAAACCAATAAGACTAAAACTTTCTGATCCATTTCAGCTCCTTCTATCTCTGTCATAAAACCAATAAGACTAAAACTTTCTGATCCATTTCAGCTGCATCTATCTCTGTCATAAAACCAATAAGACTAAAACTTTCTGATCCATTTCATTTCCATCTATCTCTGTCATAAAACCAATAAGACTAAAACTTTCTGATCCATTTCAGCTGCATCTATCTCTGTCATAAAACCAATAAGACTAAAACTTTCTGATCCATTTCAGCTGCATCTATCTCTGTCATAAAACCAATAAGACTAAAACTTTCTGATTCATTTCATTTCCATCTATCTCTGTCATAAAATCAATAAGACTAAAACTTTCTGATCCATTTCAGCTGCATCTATCTCTGTCATAAAACCAATAAGACTAAAACTTTCAATAACTAAATTGAAATATATGCGTTTTAAGTAACTGTTTGCATAAAAAAATCTCTCTAGCACACCCAAAAAGGAAATGGAACAAACAAGAGCAATAAACTAACTAGTAAATTATCAGATTGTGTATGTATATAAACCGATTTAAAATACAAACTAAAAAAAGTTCTGAAAGAAAATAAGTTATCGCTCACTCTATGAAATAATGCATAAATCTCAATTTTGTTCGCCCATGTTTCAAAATGTCAAGGTTAATACATACAATCGTGTATTTATCAATTTAAGTCATATTATTGTAGTTGTTGTTCGTCCCTCGCATGCGAAGATAACCAACGCTATATTACACAGTGGTCTGCCAGACCTGCCTGTGCCTGGAAAGCTTTCCCGAAAGTGGGACACGGTGGTTTTTGGTCCTAGTATGATTTGAGTTGATTTTGGTTTTTTACATGCCAAGCGCCTTCTTATGGCGAGGAGTGAGCGTCGCAATGATACATTGATGCTTTACTCCGAATGTCATATTCAGTTGTTGAACAACTCTATATTGAAATATAGATTAATGTTTAGCTGGACAAGGCAACATTAATTCGTGTATTGATCAAAATAGAATTAAACACTTTTATTTTGACAACTGTATTAAAAGAGAGACTAGCCCTCTTCTAATAGATTAGCATTCTGATCACAGGCGCTCAAGATGACCTTCAGGACCCTGTCCCGCCCCCACCCATCGAAAGAGAGACTATCCCCTTCTCAAAACATCATTCTGATCACGTGGACACAAGATGACCTTGAGAAGCCTGTCCAGCCCCCACCCATTTGAAGAGAGACTAGCCCCCTCCCAGCACACCGTTCTGATCACGTGCACACAAGATGACCTTCAGAATCCCGTCCAGCCCCCACCCATCTGAAGAGAGACTAGCCCCCTCCCAGCACACCGTTCTGATCACGTGGACACAAGATTAACTTCAGGGCCCCGTTCAGTCCCCCACAACTTGTCTCATTTTCGATATACTTCAAGGTTTTCACAAAGCCTTACAGGAGCAAAGAACGTCACGCGTCAATGCGTTACGGTCACGAGAACGATTCCCAGAAACGCTACGGCTGCCGTGTGTTTTGGTTTCAAAACTATTGAAGCAGATCTCCCACTCCAGGTCGAACAACATCGTGACGTAGAAAGGGTGAACGTTTGGCCGACTATTCACTTGGTGCAAACCTGCCAGATTGTTCGAGCATTTCTGCCGAGGTGGTTCAGCCCAAGATGTCTGTCTGTACGATCATTGCTTTGGTGTTGCTCTCAGTTCTCATATCAACCATTAATGCTGGTAAGATTATGTGTCCTTAAATCACAACATGATAGCAGAACTGAAATTCTTATTATTCAAAGGATTTGGTGAACATGGCGGATTATTTATTATATCCCCTCCCAGCAGTACATGTTACAATTTTAACTTACTGAGAGAAATAGGAAGAAGAAAGGTCCAAATAAAATCCGAATTCAATTGTTTGTAGGATATAGTGACTAGATCCTCAAGTCTTTAGAAATTTTTTTTTTTTTTTTAAATTTGCTTTGCCAATGTTTGAACTAGGTATGTGGTTAATTTCGGATACTTTTTTTTTTGCTTGTCCCGGAACAGACCCTTAAGCTACAGCTGAACCCTCAAGGAAATGATGACCGTTGTGTTTGAAGAATAGTTTGTCGAGCGTTTCTATCTGCTTGACACAAATGTGCATTAATATGGAAACCATGTTTTTAAGAGTTTCATCTCAGTTGACTCTAAACACCAATGAGCATTACCTTTTCTTTTATACAAGGAGCTACAGCATTACCGTTTCTTTTATACAAGGAGCTACAGCATTACCTTTTCTTTTATACAAGGAGCTACAGCATTACCTTTTCTTTTATACAAGGAGCTGCAGAAGTGACGTCACTTTGGATTAGTTTAATTTTACTTGATAATACAAGAGTGGTTTCATTGGTCTAGAAAGTCAAATGAATGATCGCATGTTCCTGGACAATCGGAGAGTGATTTCCTTTCTCTATACGACTGAATGGTTAATCTTAATTCTAAATTTAAAACGAGCATATCTAACACTAGCAGTGGACCATTATTTTCTCTACTACGTCTAATGGTCGTGACGTTTAAAAGTCACATAACCATTTTAAGACATATTTAATAATGAGGACATCAAGTGACACAGTTGTGATGTATTTTTTAAAAGTAATTTAGTTTTTCTGCAAGCGCCCTGCGTTAACGGAAGGGGTAGTCTGGTCGGCTAGTTCAATGATCTCGATTATGTGGTTCCTCTGACTTTTAGACCACAATTACACTCCCACTCATTGAGTATCTTTCCAGGTTGTCAAAATGTCGTACCTATATACAAAATAACTGTGTTCTTTCGTGGCTTCTATTTAAATCTCTCCCGGGTTAGCTTGGCAACCATGTGCAAATTCGGTCCAATTACACAACACTTACTTATAAGCGAAAACAATGATCAACTTTGCATGCTTATTACCTCGTTGTGATACACATTTCAAAAATGAAGCACCTTACAGATTTTCTCCCGGAACTACAAATACATGGTGGCTGGAGCGATGCACCGTTGACTAACGTATCCTCGCCTTCAAAATGCGACAGTTTCAGTACTGTCAATTTTTGGCTCCTACCGTAGTTTAAAACGAACACAGCGCATCAACTGATTTATTGTTAACTTAATTAACTTTCATTTACAGAGTTTATCGTCTCCTCGACGAAAAAAATTGTAAAGAAAAATAAATCTCTATATGGATGCAGACTTAAATAGATTATGAAAACCTAAGTAACTGGGAAAACATTAAGTTTAACAAACCTGATTTTGAAATCATGAATTATTTCTTCATGTGCCAGAGGATAAGTTTCATGCCAAGGCTTTTGACCAGGGAAATTTAAATTTCTGCAATCCTGTTGGTTCTCGGGTCTTAGGTGAAATGTCCTAGTTTTCTTTCACCCCATCAAATTGAGATCTTGTTATGGAGTGTCAAGAATGAAATACTGACATCCGTCCGTCACAATAAGATAATGTCAAGAATTTAATACTGGCATCCGTCCGTCACAATGTGACGATGTTGTAGACCACAGTGCGAAATCCACAAGGTCTGTGATTATTCTCCTTTAGGATTATAAGCTTTTTTCCCTACACAGCCAATCACCGCTCTCCACGCCGGTGCCTAACACAAGCTTCACATAATACATGGATGCTACAGCTTGGCGCCAATGACGTCGCAAGTGCTGCAGGAATGTTTCACTGTGTTAATGTAATCCGCCTACGGGGTTCCATCTCCGGGTTTGAATTCAGAGTTTCCTTCTCTTAGCTAAGTTGCAATCCAAGGTTAACGAGTCCCAACCACCCGAGGTGCTCGTTATGTTTTTGCTTGTAATACTCGGTACATATATTAGGTGATATGGATCCACCGATCTACGCACAGTGGACCACGAATAGCGTCCAGTTTTCGTAACTCCTCCCCAAAGCTGCATATACTATCTTCAATGGCACTGAGTTTGGCAAAAGGATAAGTGAGTGGTACGTGTTCTCTTTCTCAAGATTTCAAGAGCCGATCTGGAGTGTCGAGTACACGATCACATTAAGTCTGGAAGTTCCGTCTCTTTCAATGTGTATACGATCTCTCTAGGTCTCTGTGAACAGCCTTAAGTTCCGTATCAAAATTTGATGCTGAAGTCCCACAAAGCATTGAGATTTCTTTATTCGGTGGTCTGCTGGGTATAGTATGAGCGCACCATACTCAGAGGTTCTTTCTCTCAGGTTGGCAGAGCCGTCCGTGAACACTTTTACTGGTATGTTGGAGAACACAACAATGGTTTCAAGGGCAGCCACTTTCTGAACATGTCCAGGGCTGCGTTTCGTTACTGCTGCATCGGTCAAGGTCAAATGTGTGGAAGGACGTGACGGGTCCTCATATGGTGATTGACTGGGATTAGGCTATGATCTTGCTTAATTTTTTAATATGTTTTATATTGAAAGATCAAAATTTTCGTTAGCTATAAACATTGCGAGTGAAGTAGTTGTCGCAATTAACGACGTGGTTTTTATTTATAGTTCAGGCATAGCGCAGTGCCAGATTGGACCTTAAACATTTGGCTATGTCAATCTAATGCCCTAAATAGGTCAATTGTAAAATATACTTTTCAAAATCTAAAATTTACTTTTATCTTTCTGGGTTTGTTTACGTTTTATTAAGCCCAATTCAATCAATATTGTCTTCTTATTTAAAATAATACCTTTCTTTTTTTATTTAGATTCTTTAGTAACCCTAGAAGGCGCCCCCTCCACCATCCACCCTGTCTTGACCAAGACCCTTCAGCTGAGATGTGCGGTCCAGAGTGACAGCTCGTCGGTCACATCGCAGACGACGTCATTGTACAACTTGATTACAACCCCACAACCTGGAAGCGCTACAGACTCCCCACCTCAAGATGGTGTCCAGGCCACATCTCCAAGTGGCAGCATCGCTAAGCTTCTGTCTCTGGTGATCACCAAGAAAAACCAGGGGACTGGGCTGAGCGAGACTCTGGCGAGTGTCACAGGCTGCAACGTCCCGATAATCGAAGAGAAATTCCTGTCAACGTTTGGAGTGGAGGGAAACAGTGAGGGCTCGAACCAAAACGGTGAACTGGGTTATCTCGTCTTGACCTGGGACAGACCCGATGAAGGTGAAGCCGGGATCTACTCGTGCGAGGCATACGCCCTCAACTCGGACAAACACCCCGTGTCTCTGATTGCGAATTTACCTATTGCATCCGTTCAGCCAAACATTGCCGACCTGGTGACCTACATCTCCGCCAACGAGAGAGAGATCACCTCCCTCAAGTCAATGGTAAACGCAGTGGCAGGCGAGAACGCCGCGTTGAGACACGAAAACTATCAGCTCTACATCAAAACCAATGAATTAGAGAACAGGTTGACTGGACTCAAGGGTCAGAACATTCAGACCGGGTCGTTCAGCTGTACTTATCAGGAAATTCCATTTCCCCAGCCCTACAACAACACCCCCATTGTCTTCTTATCTACTGCTTCTGCCAGCATCTCCTCGAGCTACTCCTATAGCACGGCGTCCTACAACACGAATCTTCAATCGGTCACACCCTACTCATTCACCGTTAGCTGCTCCCAGAGTTACTTTACTACATCTTTCACTTGGCTTGCCATTGATATCTGAAACCTTCAACAGTATTTTTTTCTGATTTTCTTTTCAAGAATTGTATTTATCTCAAAAGTTAAAACCTAAAAGCTGGAGTTCACTTTTATTTTGTCATAAATAAAACATTATTTTTCAATGTCCTCGTACTGTTATTCTTTGTTTTAATGTTTTAGACATTCTTGTATTTAGAGCAAAAGTGGTTGGTTAATACGCTATCTTAGCTACGGCAGAAAAGGTTTAAGTGACCTATACACAACGTCATGTTGTTCATCATTTACAGCCATGAGAACATCCATTCTAATAAATACAAAGTTCATTTACTGAATCTGTTATATATGAATTATGCAAAACAGCGATGGATATATTACTTACATCATGTCGTACAGGGTCTTCTGAATAGCAGCAGAGGCCCTGGGTACAGTAATGAACTCAAGTTAGAAGCCACCTCCCCGCTATCAAAGCTCATAAAGGCACCAAAAGTAGCAACCGTAGCCGTTGCAACATGTCCCTATGCGATTGAAGTTGATAGGATCACTTTTCCTCTGGAAATATTCAGAATAAAAGATTGCTTTACCTGCACAAGTCGCAACGTGATTTACACCATCATTTGCGGTAAAGCATACATAGGAGAGACAGGTCGTTGCCTTGGAGACCGGTTAAGAGAACACTTCTATAGTAATCTCAGACATCGCAGTTACTGGTATATTATATACTAGTAAAACAACAGATAGGATTTATATGGAGAATAAATTAATAACACGATTTGGTACGTTGTCTCCATATGGAATAAACTAAATCCACAATTTTACCTAGCTGCCATGTCTTTTTTCCTGTTTGGTTTTTACAATTGTGTTAAAATCACCTCCTTTCAACTTTTCTTTACTTTCCTTCTGCTAGAGACCAACCGAATTTTGGCTTCGGCTTTGGATTCGGTGCAAAAAGTGGCAATTTTATCACTTTCGGCCAAGTTTCGGTTTCGGCCAAAACTGAAAAGTTAACTTTCGGCTTAATTTCGGTTTCGGCCGAAAGAGAAAAGTTAACATTCAGTTTTTCTTCGGTTTCGGCCAAAATTGACTTAGATTTTCGGCTGTCCCGCCGGAAGTGACTCAGGTTTTGGGTCATTTAATACTCAGCCAAAGCGATATTTAACAACAAACTAAGCGACATTTAAGAACAAATTAAGCGATCTTTAAGAACAAACTAAACGATATTTAACACAAAAAAGATCGTTTAATAGTAAACAAAAAGATTGATAAGAATAATCTAAGCGATCTTTAACAGAAAACTAAATGTTCTTTAGGAACAAATTAAAAGATCTTTCAGAACAAACTAATCGATCTTAAGGAAAAAAATCAATTATCGTTATGAAAAAAATAAGCGATCTTTAACAACAAACTCTGCGATCTTTAAGAACAAATAAAGTGATCATTAACAAACACTGGATGATCTTTAACAACAAACTGAGCGATCTTTGACAACAAACTAAGCGATCTTTAAGAACAAACTAAACGATCTTTAACAACAAACTAAGCGATCTTTAAGAACAAATTAAGCGATCTTTAATAGTAGACTTAATGATTTATGAGAGAAAACTAAGCGATCTTTAACAGAAAACTAAATGTTCTTTAGGAACAAATTAAAAGATCTTTAAGAACAAACTAATCGATCTTAAGGAAAAAAGTTCAATAATCTTTAAGAACAAACTAAGCGATCTTTATGATTAAACGAGGCTATATTTATAATAAAACTAAGCGATCTTTAACAACAAACTAATGCGATCTTTAAGAACAAACTAAACGATCTTTAACAACAAACTAAGCGATCTTTATGAACAAAATAACCCATCTTTAAGAAAAAATATAGCGATCATTAACAAAAATTGGACGATCTTTAACAACAAACTAAGAGATCTTTAAGAACAAGCTAATCGATATTTAACAACAAACTAAGCGACCTTTAACAACAAACTAAACTATCTTTAACAACAAATTAGGCGATCTTTTAGAACCACAATTTTTAGAGACCTGGTTTAAAAAAAGAATATTTTGCATTAATTCCTCCCCCCCCCACCCCAATTTGTGCCAAATTTTCTCTTACCATGTTAATTTAAAAAAAAATATAAAGCAATTTAAATTACTTTTATATTAAAATGGTAAAATCCAAAGTATTCATTAGATCAAGGGTCATAAACTCAAATCATCAGGGGGGGCGGGGCAGGGTGCGCAGGAGTTAGTGTCTGAATGAGAGTGGGCCGCATCAAGTAATCCACAAAAAAGCGATTACAACTGTTACAATCTGCTCAACATTATAAATAACAATAAAATCATTAAGGATTCTCAAGTACTAGGATTCACTTCATACACCTACTCACTGTTGCATACAAAAATATATAGAAACATAAAAAAAATCAGAATTAGACTATTCGGAGAGATTCGACTGAAACCGTCGCGGAGAGTCACGTTATAGATATGAGAATGGGTGAAACGGGCCGGCCCATGTACACTAAACTTTATTAATATGTAATTTATTTGAAGGAAAATGACACAGTATGAATTTTCGAATAAACACACTAACTTGAAAAGTTCGTAGGGAATTTATAAATACTATAATTTTCTTTCCATTTAAGTTACTAAATGATGAACATTTGGTGCGTGTTTTCAGACTTTTGCTTTAAATCACCCACCCCCCCACCCCCTCCCCCTACCCCCCAAAAAACAAAAAAAATCCACATCAAGAAAATAATTAATGGACATTTTCAAATTGATAATTTTTCAAAATAAACATTAACTAAAGCTAGTACCCAAAAAAATGAATTGATATGAAAATAAAAAATGCATAGGGCCCCCTAAAGCATGAGGCCCCCTACAGGCGAGAGGCCCTGGTCAAATGCGAGGGGCCCTGGTCAGTTGCCCAGTGTACCCATGCCTTTAAACGACGCTACTCTTCTCCGCTACCGAACAGTAGCGTAGCTAGAATAATTAACGCCCGGGAATCAAATCTTAATCGAACATTATTAAAAACACATTGTTATTTTTTGTTCCCCTTCTGGGGACAACTACAATTTTTTGACGAGATATATTCCCCTTTAAAAATTATCCAATTTATTATTCGCATTTATAATATTAATTATGGAAAGTGGCGCTAATATCGTGGTTTAACATTGGGAACCGTGACGTCCACTGAATTTTAAATCAAATTACGTTCAACCATCTTTCAATATACATTAAAAGTATGTAAATCATGATGCCTCTGAAAGAGTGAGTCTACTAGAGGGTGAGGCGCTAGGCCAGTGCCCAGTGGGCCTATCCCCTAAGACGGCGTTGTTGTCGTATCAATGGATGTAACATTGACTCTTCGTATAAGTTATAAGCTATCGTTTTCTTTATTGAGAAGAGGTTTTTAAGTTGAAAAACAAATTTACCCATAAGTATTTTCCTAATTTTCAGGAAACATTTTGAAATTAGTAATAATAAAAGTTTACGAACCAAGACAGCAAATCTCACTGATAAAACTACATTGCAATCAATAGTCGCTGTGTAAATGTAAATACATGAAGTTAATGATATATCAAATTAAGTTAATCATTGTGCATGATTCATCTTTTTTTCTTCTTTTTTTTTTGAGTAGCTTCAAATCATTGCAAGTAAAAATTAATTAAGATGAGTAGCTTAATATTTTTTTTTTTGAATTTTCGATATTAAGTTTCTTTTATCATTTTAAAATTTATTACACCAAGAACAGATAAAAAATTGTGTTTATTTTGTGCGTACTAAGAAGTAAACAAACGTTTAACAAAGGGAGGCAGCTGCCTCAATATTTCACAGCGAGGTATTTGACCTGTGCTACCTCCCTTTCATATTCTAATCTCATAATGACGTCGTCTAAGTCAAATTATGTACGCTCAAATCGCAATTCAGTTCAAATTCTAAAAAAATCACTTTCCAATAACCGCCATGGATCTCACACAACTTAAGGGATTCCTAAGTCTACTTAAGTTACATTAAATATTGTATTCTGTAATGCTAGAATAAATTACCCGATGTAGTCTAGATAATAATCTTAGGTCCTTTGCAATATTGTCTTCCTGCTATTGCAAAATCTAATCTCAATTTCTAACTTTAAAAAGTGGTATGTATATAATTATATTTACGTTTCTAGCATCATTAAGTTTTGAGAAGTATCTATCTGCTATATATTATACGCCTACTTCCTTTCACGAACCTAAACTACATCTCCCCTCTAAACATGACCTTAAATTACACAGTCTAAATTATCACTAATTATATCACTTTTGTCACTAAAGAAGTTAATTGAGGGAAGATTTCTACGCCAGAGAATTACTTTAGATTTTCCCCTTTTCGTGCTCTTAGACTACAACTTTTGCTCTCTAAAACTTGTTAAAAATATATTATTAATTTTATAACAAGAACTCTATGTATGATATAAAATATTTTTTATGAAGGAATTTTATATATTTCCACCTTCTTCAAAAATTTAAACACACATTTGTCCTGTCTTTTGTAATTATGCATTATCAGAAAATCGTAAAACAAAGAATTCTTTTATTTAAAGAAGAATCTCGGAACAGGATTTCACGTCTATAACAGACTTAAGTGTTGGTTTTTTTTTAAATTGTTAATCTCATAAAAATACACACCCAATTTACTTTTCGCAAAGTAAAAACAAAAATATATTTTCATTTAAAAAAAAAAAAAAAATATTTAACAAAGAACATTTAAAAAAAATTAAATGTTCAAGTGTGTAAAATGATTCGGTTTTGATATGTATGGTTATACTTAAATAAATGCACCAACGTTTTGTTAGCACCATTGATCTTCTTGATTGGTAAAATTATGTTTATTTGCAACATCTCTTTTTTCACAAATGTAATACCATATGATTTAAATATATTGTCATCCACGTAAAAATGTACACTTCTTATTTCCTACCTCCGATAGTTATGTAGGCCTACCCAAGAAGGTTAATTAATTATAAAATAAAATTCATTCCTTATTTTGAGACGTATCTTGTGTTGCCTGGGGCAAATTGACCAACACCCCCCCACCCCCCGATTTAAATAAAATTAATAAAATCTTCCAACGGATTGTAGTCTCTTCCATAACACTTCAGATGG